TTTCTCGTGGACTCATTTCTTTTAATTAATTAAATAAACCCAATTTACTAGTGTTTTTTTTCGCCATTATTAAAATGGAAATTGTTATCCCTAAAAATAATATTATAATTATAATATAATTTAAATTATTAGTTTCGAAATATTCAACCAAAAGCCATGGAAAAAATGCCCATATCTTATTCTTGTAATATTCTTTATCCCACAAGACAAATGTGAAATGACCCTTTTAGATTTTTGCATGGAATCAGTGGGACATACTTCCATGTTGGTAATTCCTCTTTTTAGTAATAATGTTTATTTTAATATATTCTACCATTCTAATATCTACTTTAATTAAGTATCACAAGACTATAATTATTAGTTTTTACTTTTTTTGTTAAATTAAAATTAGACAAAAAAAAATTAAAATCAATAGACTATATATTTAAGAAGATGCATGGGAGTTGGGACCACCTTTTGATCCATGAAGTAAGCTGAAAATTATAAGATATCTATTCATCTTTCAACAGAGGTTAAAAAAATAAGCGATTTTTATCTATTTATCACAAGATCTCACAAAGTGAAATGTTATATTTTTATCTAAGAAATGTGAATAAACATATAACTTCCGATCAACATGGTTTCTTCACTATGAGGGCATTTTTGGTATTATATTATGTTTGTGTTTTACAGCTATTATACTTAATAGGTAACTTTTCATTTTGCACAAAAACATTATTTTGCCGTCTTTTGTTTTGCTAGCATACTCACATGATTAAATAATTTTGAGTGCATAACTAAAAGAATTTTAAAGATATAGTCTTAAAAATTGAACTCAAACATTACAGCCTAATAATATAATATACTCATACTTAAGAATATTTGGAAACTAATAATTTATAAATTATATATTATAATTATGATATTATTTTTAGGGATAACAACTTCCATATTAATAATGGCGAAACCAAATACTATCAAATTGGGTTTTTTTAAAGTGGCTTATAGCATAAAAGTTAAAAACCACATAAAAATAATTCAATCCAAACCCCACATAATTTCCATGCAATAAAGTGATTTCAACGTTCAAAAAATAGCTCCATGCATGCAAAACTCTAAATTTCTCTTCTAAAGAAATAATTTCATCAATATTATTATTAATTCATCATATTCATCACTAATTTTATACATCTTATCAAACGACTCTTTACACACACTCTCTCCTTTTGTCAATTCTTTCTTATGGACTCATTTCTTTTACTTAATTAATTAAAACAACCCAATTTGGTAGTGTTTTGGTTCCCCATAACTAAAATGGAAGTTGTTATACCATGTTGAAAGGGGTATAAAAAAATATCATAAATATAATATAATCTATAAATTATTAGATTCGAAATATTCAACCAAATACCGGTAAAGAAAATCCCCATATTTTATTCTTTATCCCACAAGACAAATATATGTGAAATGACCCTTTTAGATTTTTGCATGGAATGATCAGTAGGACATACTTTCATGTTGGGAATTCCACTTTTTAGTATTAATGGATATTTTAATATATTCTAATATCTACTTTAATTAAGACTTTTTTAGAATCAAATTAAAATTAGATAAATAAATTAAAATCAATAGCATATTTAAGAACATGCATGAGACTGCCTTTTGGTCCATAAAGTAAGCTGAAAATCATAAAATTTTGGGTCTATTTATCTAAGTTGAAAATCAGTGCTCTAATAATTTTCTCAATTTATAGATTGAATTAATTTTTGGGCGCCAACAACACCCATTGAAAAAAGAAAATGGGACAATTTTTTTTTTTATTTTAATATTCTTTTTATCACTTTAATGAAATTATTTGTAAGTAGAGAAATGCCTGAAAAGTGTTTGAAACGATCAATTTCAAATGTTTCTCTTTTTGTGTTAAGTCAAAGACGAAAAAAATATATAAATTTCATAAACTTTACTTTATAGCCAAAAATAAATGACATATTAAAATATAAACTTCAGAAAGTGATTAATTATAACAGCATTCAACAAGAAGGCTAACTAAAACATACTACTATTAATTAAGAGCCTAATTAATCTCAAAAACAAAAAAAAATAGGAAAACATATATAGGCAGCAGCTCAACAAGAAGAGAATACTACATAAATATATCTAAAACACAATTGTGAATACTATCATAAGCCCTCAACGCAGCTTCAAACAGGATGGATCTTCCTCAAAAGTGTGTTGAATGATCATCCTATCTTCAACCGCACAATCATCACCCTTAAAAATAACCAAAGTGACTCCGTTAAGTTTCAACATTGTTCTCCGATATTCTAACAACATTCACCATCCACCTCCTACTTCTCCTCTGAATTCAACTTCCTCTGAATTCAACACAATCACCAGCATGACCAGGAAATTCTTCCCTCATAGCATGCAAATTGTTCCTAGTTTAGTATAAAAAACAACTATATCTTGTATGGATGAGTATCAGTTTCCCGTCTTAGTACAACGGACCATACGCAAAAAAAGCTTCAAAAATATGCGAGAAACCTAACCTCTATACGGATATGGGTCAGGAACAACAAACTCATGAGAAATGTCACGTATGTTCTCTCGAATCAACATTATAAAGTAATAATCTTTTACTGAATGATAAAAGCCCCTCCATTTTATCAAAGACACATGCCTACTATCGGAAAATGATAAGACAAGTTTCAATCGGGAAAAATATCAGGGTTTCAAGAGACAGAAACTTTATCCGATTTTTTTTTTAAAAGATTAAAAAATTAGGTTTCATAGTCATAGAAACTTTATCGGATTTCTGCTCTTTTTTTTTTTGTAAAGGTATGTGAATATATATATTGAAAGAATATTAATTTGAATCAGAGTTGGAGAGAATATTAATTTGAATTGGACTTGGAGACCCAAATAAATTGGAGTTGTTTTTTTTTAATTATTATTTTACTTGTTAATATTTATTTGAATAACAATCTTAAAATAAATTAGTGGTCTAAATCCAAAAATAAATCGGAAACATAATTTTTAACTATTTTTTTATTAATGAGATTCAAAGTTATTTCTTTCTTTTTAATTAAAAAAAAACTTTCTTTTTTTTATGATCTTAAAATAAAGATATATATATATATATATATATATACTAAAATATTTTTTAATCTTGTGGTATTAAACATATCACGTGGAAGTTACATTTAAAATCAGATTAAAAAAAACATTCTTTAATATTTCGAAACAAACTAAAAAAAACAAATAAATTTAAAAAACACAGTATATTTTTTTTACTAAGAAAGACTTATAATAATTTTATTATTATTGAAAAATTGAGCCTTTCGAATTTGGGCCTAAAGCGTATATCTCATTTTTAAAATTGAGCCACCCCTTACGGATTCTGTTATAAAATACAGTTACACACACTCTTCATCTATTCCAGACCAGAAATAATAATGATGGCTATAACTTTTCGAGAATAATAAGCACAATTTAAACGGATAATAATAAAGAATGAAAATTAAAACTTGTTAAAGAATAATATTTTACATATCAAAAACAGAAATATTGAAGATTAAAAAATTAGAGTTTCACGGATACAAAAATTAAAACTTGTGAATATATTATTTTTTGAGTTTTAATTTATGTGACATATTTTTCTTTTCAGTTAATTCCAAAAGAATGATGCATGCACTACTATATTTAGTAATATTTTGCCTTTAAATTATTCATTTTATTCTTACTAAAATAATATATAGTCATACTAACACCTATGATTTATTTTAGATCACGAGTTTTGAAAGTGTTTTTTTAATAAACAAATTCATGTTGAGTCAAATAATATTGTATTACATAAATCGAAATGGAAGGAATAAAACACTTGGATCAATTTTATATTTAGAAAATTTAAGTTCTTGTAACTACTTTGCCTTTTATCAAAATTTAAAATGGAAGTATTAAAGTTATTCACAAATATTTTTTCATAATATTTTTTATCAATTTCATAACCAAAACTTTAACATTAATAAGGTAATAAAGTAACTTAATTTAGAAGTTCAAATATTGATATCAATTGTGAAAACAATCATTGTTAATGTTGTAAAATATTCATAATCCAACATTTAATTTGCTTCTTACTCTCAGTAAATGACACTAATTTATTAGAATCCAAGTTTGCAAATAGTAAAACTCAAGACTAAAAAGTTCATCTCACTATTATATAAAGTTCAATCTGTGGTTTATCTTTGAGAAAATTGGTCTCGTATATTTATTTTATTTCAAAATTTATTTCATTAATAGGTTATGTATTTTCTCAAACTACAATTATGCATTCTTTATTTTTGTCATTTTTTCTAAATAATACTCTTCTTGATTTTTTTTAAATTCTTATATTATCAACCTATCTTTTTTTGTCCCCTTAGAATTGTGATATTTTTATTTTCTTACTCAAGTCACAATTTTTTCAAAAACAAAATAAATATTCTTTTTGGAGATAGATTTTTTTTAAAATACGATCGATACGATCCTAAAACAATTTCTTTAAGTCTGAAAGGTTAGGAGTACGCAATGTTGGGAGATAACACTGCCTGGGCATGTCCAGGCTTGTTTTTCTTTTCATAAACTTGAGTTGTAATGGTCATACTTGGTAATAGAAAAAAATTATTTACCTAAAAATAAAAAAAAATCAAAACTCCGATATTTATTATTGTGCATGTAAAAATGACAAAGAGAGATAACTGTATAAATATATTTTACTGCAATTAATACATACATAATTATTAAAATAGAGATGTATTGTTAACAAATTTCTTGTTTATTTATTCACATTAATTTAGCAAATATTTCATTGATGAAAATCAAAATTAATTTGCATTTCTATAATCTATATATAATATAAAGGAGTTAAGAGATAAATCCAAATATACCTACCTACACACATATTTTAGTGCATATAATATTAAAATCTGAATGATATAAAATAATATAAAATTATGTGGCATTCATAAAAAGAATTATTATACTTATATTAAGAAAAGTTAAATAAATTTTTATAAATACTTATGTTATAAAATAAAATGTAAGGCCCCAAAGTATGACTATACATAGTCTGTAAAAACAATGACATCCCAAGAATTTGAACTTTACAATGAAGAATATGTATAGTGGATCAATATGGAAAGAATTAAGTGAGAATGTCAGTAGTTCCAACACCAAAAAGGGAAGCTCGATGTACTAAGTTTCTGCTATGTGTGTATTCTGAAAAAGGCTTAGACTATGTAATGTGGTCCAACCTTGCATTTGTACAAGAGGTTGTCGTGTCATAGTTTGAACCCGTAACTTCCTAGGCCACATAAAGGTGAACATAAGTGGTGCTTACACCTCCTTGGATCAAATTGCTACTCATGTAAATTACATTGTTGCAGATATGGATGTTCATAGCTAACATGTCTGTTCCAATAGGACTTGTACTTTTGGACACCAATGTCTAACCATGGTTTCATAACTCCATCATAATGAATCACAGCTGCCTGCTCGATTTGTGCTCGTGTGACACCCGAGTCATACCCCAACCCGAGTAGATGCCATGTCCTGTCCAGAGCATGAGTGTGTTTGTAAAATGTCATCCAACCAAGTGGTAAACTACCAGCTTTCAGTAATGGTCTCTTACTTCCCTGCATCAACAAAAATGGCATACACTGAATGTTTCTGGCAATGAAGATAAAAGGAGAAGAGTATAGTAAAACAACTATAAGTGTCTAATGGATTAACCCCATGACATGGTTGGCTATCTATCTAATATATAATCAATCTCCTCTTCTTTTTTTTTTTTATGACAGTGGTGTCTAGTCAACTTGTGCGCACCTCGACTAACCAAGATACGAGCAGAAGGGAAGAATAATATCACCTAGTGTCAACCAAACTCATAGAACTACTCAAAAATCATTAATGATTTCAACAAGCAAAATTTGCAAACAACGGAATATAACTTATACCAGCTCCAAGTACTTGTGATAGAGAGCAGTTAAGTTTCGCTTCCTCCACTCCTGCAGATCAAATACATTCATACCATATGCCCAAGTGCATGTGTTTGCATCGAACCTTGTTGCCACCGAGGGGTCTGTGAAATTGATGAACATATCCATTCGGCGGAATGAAGGCTCACCTTCCACACAAGTCTCCACTGCACCATTCACTTTGCCCTTAATGTTGATGTGCCAAAGTCTGGTTAGATCTTTTCGCACAACCACGTCATGGTCGAGGAACACAATCTTGTTCACAGAAGGAAAAATATCAGGAAGATAAAAACGTAAGTGGTTCAGTGCAGAAGCATATCTTGGATCAAGGCCTTTTTGCTTCTGCTGATCCTCATTGTATTTGATCGATAACCATTCAAAACCGTCTATGCTCTGGATTTGAATGGTAGCTTTGCCAGGAGGATTCATCAAGAACCACATCGACATGGCTGGCAGGTTGAGAGAATCAGTCACTATATGAAAGACAATTTTCTCTGGATCCTGCTAAGTACATAAACATTTACCTTCAATTAAGACATATTTGTGATGATTTAGTTTTCAAATCCAAAATTTCAAATTAGCAGTTACTATTTGCTACACATGTACCAGAAAACTAGTCAAACTTTCTCTGCTTATCTTATCCCTATTGCATATAAGCTGATGAAACTAAAGTATTACTGGCAAATAGTCTTAAAAATGTATTTGCAGATTTGAGGACGCCCGAGTAATATCAACTTATTTCCTAACAGTAAGTTATCTTTGTACATGAACAAGAATTTGTCACTTTCAAAATCAGGCCAAAGATTCTTTCCTACAGCTCCGTTAAGAAAATGAAGATGAATATTGCCAACTAAACAAGAAAAACGAGTGTTTTTCCTCTGCAGGCCATCCATTTTGTCCAATTGTCCTAAAATTAATGTTGGATATATCATAAAATCAAATACTCAGTATGCTTAGTCTTCAACATTCCGCTGCTTATCAAGTTTCAAGATGGCAGAAGTCAGAACCAATCTCTTGGTTAAGGGATTTGATTAGTATCTTCTTCAGAACCACCTAGATTTAGTTGCTTCTTGAACCCTTGGTGTATGAACGTAGCATTAAGGACGTAAAGCACATGGAGGAAAACAGATTTAAGAAAGAAAGGTGATCCCAAATGAGAAAACACACAGATTGCATACCTTAGCGGTTGAAACAGTTGTATTGACAACCACAGAACATGCCAAAACATTGTCTGAGAAAACAGCAAAGTGATAGAGATCGGGATCCTGCAGTTTGTGTTGGTTAGGAAACTCCCGCTCCTCAGGCTGCAGAGCAAAATATTCTGTGGTCAACTGCATGGAAAGGCAATGAAGGCCTTTTGGTGTAGTTCTTGCAGCGAGCTGTACGAGGAAGGAAGTTTGATCCCTTTGTGATCGAAGCTGTTCTTCAGCATTATACGTCATGGCACGTAGTGTATTCACCATAGCTGAGCAATCAGGGTATATTCTGCTTGCTTTCAGCAGGGTCCCATCCATGGCTTTCATCTTTTGCGTGGCCCTGGAAAGCTAGCTGCTCTTAGATTATACATACAACATATTTTAAACCATTATCAGTAAGACAAACCAATTTGTTTCGGATATCCTCAAGTCAATATTGAGTACATATTCTTGTCTCTTCAAAGACAGTAGCACAAGCCAGTTCTACTCTAATTAAATATAATTTGTCTCAGAGTAGGGAAGTCTCAATAAGTAGAGAGTGCCGCCCCATGTCATATCCTCAAAAAATACACTACTTTTGGAGGATCCAATACACACCTATCAACATTTTTGAAGAGTCCGAGCAACATAGAGAACAGATCATAACATGACAAAATCCAGTACTAAGCAGAAACAGATTTTATGCTTCTGACTTCTGAGTAGCAATTGACACCTCAGATGAGCCAGGTTCTGTAAATTGCACTGATTAAATTTTATATTTAACAAATGAAGAAGCATGTCATAGCCTGTTAGGTGAATTGTTGTGTGTGTGAGGGGAGAGGGGGTAAATAAAAATGACCTCACCTCCTTGACAAACCAGAATCTTTAGTAACATCACCCATAGCTCGTTCTAGCTCTTTAATTCGTAGCTTTATCTCTTTCACAAAATGAGAGTTGCTATCTGGTGGTGCAAAACTCAAGTATGCTTTGGCCCTTATCACCTTATCTTTCATCTCTTTTACCTTCTCATCTAATGGCCTCCGCGGATGTGACTGAATGCTCCGACTGTGTTGAACCCCTTCTGGTCTGGACTTCTCCTGCAACAACCCTAGCCGAAATCAGCAGACTGCAAACTCAAAATAAGCATGTACTTGCTATGAACAATATAACGAAAATGACTTTCTAGTTGTGCATGACAAAGTGAAATGCACACAGATGAAGATATCTGTAAGGAAAGAAAGGATCAAACAAGTACTTAAGATCCGGAATACCAAATCTAACATTTTAACTTTTTGCAAATTGCTATAGACAACCATGTTGAAGAAGTGAAAAGTGACATGGCATCCTTCATATCTTCTAATGAACTTTCGTTGAAACCCCTAAATTGACATATTTTCTATGTACTACTCCTGCACATTCAAATGTTAACGTTGCTACTAGAACTGATATTCGAAAATCCAATCTAGGTCGGAAGAAAGAAAATATGCTAACATTTCTTATTTTTTCTCACCAAGCATCAACCGGAGAATCACCACAATCAAAGCAACAACATGAAAATTTAAATAGAAAGAAACGGAGAATACTCTGCGTCTAACTAACTCCAAATTTTGCCAACAGTACATGCTACTAAATCTGAATTTCATCCACTCTATGCAGCCAAACAGAAGTTACATTAAGTCCATTAGTCACAAATTCTGGAGACAACCAACATGAATGGCTCTCGTGTATAGTACTAAGTGATCAAATTTAAAAAATCTCGCAAGATAAGAAATTATAACCTCCTCTATCTTCAGCTACGACACGCTATACAGAATAATACCTTTTCTCTATACGGGAACGCTTTTTGCTCAGATAGATTTCGTTGACTTTTTTCTTGTCCACCATATGTGGTCCCTGAATTTGAGAGAAGAATTAAATGCTGCACTCATATTACAACTTGACAGCAGTGAAGGAAAGAAGAGGTAAAGAGCACTTAGGATCTGTTTGGACATAGAGATTTTTTCCAAAATAAATTTTATACATTGTTTGGTTATACATTTGAACATTTTTTGGTTAGTTTCTGAAGATGAGTTTTCAAGTATGAAAAACTGGTTTTGACCCCTTTTTCAGTGAAACTTTTTCCCACTCACAAAACTTCAACTTCTTTTTCAAGTGAAATAAATGTTCAAACATAACTTCATCTTCTAAATATCATTTTTTCAACTTCAACTCCAAAGACTCGTTTTTTTGTCCAAGTTTCAACCCAATGTTTGTCCAAATGCCTACATAAAGCAGTATAATACCATTGCTTTGCAATAAGTTAACGTTCTCTGCTTTGTGACGCCTATCATTCTCATCCAAGCCGACTAAAGAGCCATGATCTCCATCTCTATAGACAACCAGGTGTGGTCCTTTTAGGCCTTCAACTTCTTCCTAAAGAAACAACATACTAACATTAACAAGCATAGGTCACGATCACATATGGCTTTTCACAAAGTAAGCAGGCTTATCCATTTTATATCACCTGTTGAACTGCACTATTCGCCTGAGCATCTATTCTATGCTTCTGAAGACAAGAATCGGAAACCCCCAAAATAAAAATGACAGTCAGATACTTGTTTCTCTTTGTTTAGTATGATAACACTATAAGACAATTATGCAAAAAGAAGAAGAAAAAATCAGTGTTTGGGCTAAGGAATAATTGAAGATATAGAGATCCCTTCCTTCGTTGTTTTCTTTTCACAGGAGCAGGGGAATGAGGGAAACATATGTTGTTCAGATTCTCCAAAATTGTTGCCGCACACGTGATAGATTCTCCAAAAATGCACTACTTTTAGAAGATTCTACATGCTCTTGTGACATTTTTGAAGAGTCCGAGCAACATAAGAAAACAAAAATTAACTATTTCACTTTGATGTTTCCAATATATGGTGCCAAAGATAAATAAATAAACTTAACTATACAAAAGCCTCTCTTTTTCCTTCTTTCATGATATGGTGCCAAAGATGCATAATAAACTTAAACTATACAAAAGCTTATGTTCTTTCTTTCTTTATAAGTTGCTTGAATGAACAGGAACAACAACATTAGTCAACAAATCACAAGTAGCAATAATATAAAACATATTGAACTAAACAAACCTAAAACTTACAAGAATCGATAAGTCTTCAACAAAGTCTCTAGATGCTGCAAACAAATTGAATACAAACACTAGTCAGATTAAATTAAGACCCCGAAAATCCAAAAGCAACAATAAGAAGTAAAAAACATACCATCAGAGTTAAGGTTTTTGAGCCTAAATGAAAGCAAGAAAACAGGTGTGAATACTGAAATAGCAAGCAAAGAGAGGATAGAAATCCTCGTACATCGTCGAAATAGCCTCATCAAAGCATAAAGATGAAACAAAATCCAAAAGGGTATTGGAACATCAGACAAGATTATGCAAATGCAGATTCAGATCATTAGGATAAAAATTGAGTCTTGATAGAAAGTCAAACAAAAAAAAAAAAATGGAGTAAGGGTGAAATAGCCTCATTATAGCATAAATATGAACCAGAAGACAAAAGGGTACTGGATAATTTAAACAACATATGCAAATAAACTCAGATTATAAGGATAAAAAAATGAGCCTTGATACAAAGTGAACAAGAAAAATTTGAAACATAAACCAAAATGGTATTAAATCACCAAACAAGATATGCAAAAAGATTCATATATAATGATAAAAAAACTTGAAAAAACAAAAAGCCAAAAGGGTATTGAATCACCAAACTAAATATGCAAAAAGATTCATATTACAAGGATAAAAAATGAGTCTTGATACAAAGTGAACAAAAAAAATTGAGTCTTTAATACAAACTGAACAAGACAAAAGTAAAGAAAAACCAAAAGGGTATTGGATCACCAAACTAAATATGCAAAAAGATTCATATTACAAGGATAAAAAATGAGTCTTGATAAAAAATGAGTCTTTGATACAAAATGAACAAGAAAAAATTGAAAAAACAAAAAAAAAGCCAAAAGGGTATTGGATCACCAAACAAGATATGCAAAAAGATTTATTTAGATTATAAGGGTAAAAAAATTGAGTCTTTTGATATAAAGTGAAGAAGAAAAAACTAAAGTGAGGGGTTTTTCATGCTTGTTTGATTTGTCATTTTTTGGGATCTAAGAATGTATTTAGTGATTTAAAAATTGGATTTTTTAAAGAAAAGAAAGCGATGAAAACGGAGAAAGATGTGGTGACATGTTCTTGAGTTCAAAGAAATGAATGAAATTTAAGGAGGGCGAAGATTTCAACTTTTTCTTGAAATAGAATACTATACATTTATATACTCTTTGGAGCCCCTCACCCCCCTCCCCAGGGGGATCTAAGGGGTCCGAGGGTGTTCACCTAAAATCAGTTAACGGTTAAACTGATAATCGCTAATCAGATTGCTAAGACCCTTTGGGGTGGCCCAGTGGTTTGGTCTTGGAATTTTCATGTTAGAGGTCTCAAGTTTGAAACTCGTTGCCTGCGAAATAAAGAGTTTGCCTTGTGGGTCGAGCTCATCACACCGGGCTTCCCTCCTATGTGGTTTGCGAGCTATTGCATAGGAGAGAAGGTTTTACCTTGTGCGCACCCAAATGGTAGCGGCTGCGGGTTTCTCTTGTCATAGAAAAAAATAACCAAACCGCTAACAATCAATAATTGATAAGTCAATATCTTTGATAAGTCGAATCGATAAAATTTCAAAACTAAACCAAATTGAACCGACCAATACACAATCCTACTTCCTCCCCACCTTGCCTACCTTTTCACCTAGCCCACTAGTTGGGCAATTTTCTTTTCTTAACTAACATAATTATGATTTCTTAATGGTAATCATAATTAGATGATCACCCTAAACAAGACTAAGACCACTATTAGAGGACTATTTCAATGTAAATATTATAAGTCATTTGTCTTTGTGGTGCACTTCTAAAATCATTGGTTATTAATTTATCTCAACTAACTTAGAGGATCTTTTCTTAATCATATTGTAATTTATATAACTTTTGAGAGATGTCCTTGTCATTACCTATTTTTTTTTTCTTCTTAATTCCTTTGATTGGAATGATATTCAATTATTTATATTAATTGTTACATCATTTAATTATTTATGTATTATAAAGAGCATAATATACTTTAAAATCTGTCTAAATACACATATTTCTTTATACATAAAACAGGGCAAGTACACGGTAGTTGGAATGATAATCAATTATTTATATTAATTGTTACATCATTTAATTATTTATGTATTATAATAAGTGTACCATACTTTTAAAATTTGTCTAAATATACATATTTCTTCATGCATAAACAAGACAAGTACATAATAGTCGATTATGAAAGTTCTATTCAGGTAATGCCAAAAAAAATTTAAAAAAAAATTATGAGTTTTTCACTTTAAAATCAACTTCAAATGTATCCACAATAATTAATGATTATAACAAATTATTTGATTAGACTAACAAATAGTGATGAATACTGACAATAAGGATTTACATGAAAAATAGAATTTAAAAATTAAGGCTAAGAAGCACAAAAATACAAAATATAAAGATAATAACAAATTTAGCTCGTCTGTCATATTTATATTAATTAAATATTAACTTTATAAAAACACTATGAATTACTATTTACTATCTAGAAATGGGAATAAGCAAGCTCTTCTTCGTCAACATCTTTGCTTCACTAGGAGGGTATTTTCGGTATTATGTAATACTTATGTTTCACTATTGTAGTACTTCAAAGCCTCATGTATGTACCTTTCCATATTGGTATAAGCATTGGACATCTCTATCCCAAGAAATACAATATAACTACTCAACTAGAATAGAATTAATTGAATTTTTTCGATTTTACCTAATATGACCTTGAGAAGTTTGAACAATTTCTATATTAGCTATTTCTGTATTCTATGTAAAAAAATTCTAATTTATTTTTATATGCATTGATGTGAACAAAGGGCAAAATAGTAAAATTGATCAATCAATTAATGATATATTAATTACAGTGTAAAATAGATAATGTCCATCTAATATGGAAACTTAAATTCCACTAACATATATCAATTGGCAGCCTTTTGTTTTGATAAGACATGATTTAACATTGACATAATACATAAAAACCTCACTAAATTAATACTCGATAAATTAATAATCTCTCTAAGATAATATTTTCTTCCGATCTCGATTTAGGTCAATGAAAAAAATCACCTATTTCGATAAGATAATAAGATAATATATTTTCAAAAGACCTCTATATAAATATGTAGTTTCATTAATATTATAAATTAATAATTATCTAAAAATACAAATATATCTAAGACAATTTAGTGAAATATGATTTTATGGTGTTTTGTTTTTGTTAAAATTTAAATTTAGTTGAAGCTCATCTCTAACTTTTCTTATTGTATCCAAAAGTTTCGACGTTGTCAAAACTGCAAATCTTTTTGAGTGCATGAGGAATGATCTCTTTTGTACTCACATAATGTTTTACGTATTTGATATGTCATTGTTGATTTTGCGATACCTTTTAATTGAGAAACTATTTTTGGATATGCTTTCAAGAAATTTCTAGTAAAGTTATTAGTTCATTCTCTCATGTCATCATACATTGAATGCTTTTAGTAAAGATACAATGAATAATGTTTGATTATTAAGATACAATGAACATTATATATAATGAATTTATTTTTACAATGAATCATTGAATTATTGAATTTATTTTACAAAGAATCATTTAACAAAAAAATATATTACAATGAATCATACACATACACTATACTTTATGTTGACACCTAATTTTGACCCTCCCCGATAATAATTAATGTCGAGCTTCTTAATTTTCAAATGATTTAAAGTAATTAATTTTAGAAATTTTGAAAAAATATATATAATAGAATAATTTGTGAGTTATTTCAAATAGTTTGTCACTTGTTATAATTTTTAAATAATAATATGTCTTTTATATGATTATGTATATAATTAGTGCATTTTATAAATATTGAAGAATTGTCTCAAAAAGATTTTGTTTAATTGGATATTTGGTTAGTTTGTTTAGTTATCTAATAGTTTACAACTTTGAGTTAAGTAGTTAGTTTATAATTAAGTTAATTATTATATAATTTGTGTGTCTAATTAGTATATTTTACGAATGTTCAAAAAATTGTCTCGAAAAGGATTTTAGCTTTATTTAAATATTTGGTTATTTAGTCGTGTATATTGTTAAAGTAATTAGTTTATAATTAAGTTAATTATTTTACTTCGTTAAGATTAAGGAGCTCGTTAATTAATTAATATTAATTCATTTAGATTCTAGCCGAATTAATCTCTAAAGCTATTCCCTAAATTTAATCTAACTCACCTACCTTAACTCATTTGTAAGACCATTTTGGGCCATTTAAAGTGACCCAATTCAGCCCAAATCCACTTCCCATTCCTTATTTCCAATTAAACTTACCAGCAGCCCACCAAATTCCCCTTTGACCCGGCCCAATCCCCTGATAAACAACAATCAGCCCCAACGTTCTTCCTCCTTCAACGTTCAAAATCCAGAAGCGACAAACGAGCCAGCAGCCCAGAAACTCGTACAGCAGGCAGCAGGCACGCCTCTGTCCTCCTTTACCCTTTCGGAATGAATCAAAATCTCAAAGAAAAGGTGTTTAACCGGAAGGGTGAAAGGTTTTTGAAGTTTTGAATTTCGAATTTCGAATTTTGGCCTTTTGAATCGGATTTTATCCTCCCCC